CAAAACCCGTACTACTAATAAGTATTTAAAGTCTCTAATCCTTGACTTTCCATATCAATTAATAGAAAGAAACGAAGATTTTTTATGGTTTTTTAACATAAATTTTTGTTTTATATTTTATATCGAATTAGCAGAACAGCGACCTAACGCGTCGGAAAATGTAAGTAACACCAATATAAAATAACAACTTGCAGTTTTTAAAGATTTCCTGTGGTGGAAAAGTTTTTTTTTAAACATGGAAACAAATTTCGAGTAACTGAAATAGGTTACACGGACTTACTAACTTCTATGTGCCCGTGGAAGTTATTTCAGACTTAATTTCTTCGCAGATCAGATATATCTTCCATGGATCTTAATTCAAGGCATTCATAACTTTCAGGAAATCTCTGGGAAAATCTCATGAAAGTTATGTCATGAATTAACTTCAACAAAAATTTTATCAAATCATTATTATTTGGGGAAAAAATCAATTACAATTTCAGTACCACAATTATAACAACACTGGTTTTGATTTTTTGAGGAAAATGAGTTCAAAATGTCAAAAAATTGCTTAGGCTTAAATAAAAGCTAGAATACCCGGCTACTATTCCCGATATGCTATCTCTGCTGCTTTACCGGATTGTCACTTATAGTCATTTATTGAACAATAAAAAAAATTATTGTTTAAAAAACTAAAACCTCGCTATTATAATTTCCATTCGTACTGTCATCAGGTATGTAACTTAAGAATAGAAATCGCTGCATCTTTTAGGCGCATCAATATTACATAGTTACATCCCGAGCTAATAAAAGGGAGGAAAAAAATACTGGGAAATTGGGCTAGTGAACATTTTCTGTTCAATAAATGACTATAAGTGACTATTAAGTCAAGGCACAGGAATGGTATTTTCAGGGAAAGTTGCAGAGTTGAGGCCTAAGTAGAAGGTTCTGTCACCTTTTGTTTCTTTGCTAGAGTTTCAAAAATATTGCCAAAACGCGATTTCTCAAAATATTGAGCTGGTGGAAATAGAGTCCGACCGCTTAATCGGCATCGGTATCGGCTAGTATTGGCCAACAGAATTGGCATCGGCATCGGCATCGACCGTTTTTGGCCGATTATTAGCCGATTTATTATTACTTTTTCCGCAATTTTAGCAAGTTTTAATCAAAATTTCAACCCGTTTAATAAAAGTTTTTAGAATTCTTTTGAGTACGCAGTTTTTTAACTTTTAGTATAATAAAGTGTAAGTTTGAAGTAGCTAGGTAAGTGTTGATTTTAGACAATTTTTTGTACATGCATTTCCTTCCAAATAAAGTGTGTTCGAAAATTTTTTTGTATGGAGAAAATCCACAATATGTAGCACAAAAAAATATCCAAAAATCAATAGTAAATCCTAGTTACTTGAAATTTGTACTTCATTAAATAAAATTTGAATGGGCTATAAAACTGCATACTCAGAATGTTTAAGGAAAAGTTTGAAATTTTTACTAACCTGGTTTTTGTTAGATTACGAGCTACGCTTTCATAAAAAATAAGAAACATTAAATAACCGAAAGGGAAATAGCCAAAGAATGCTAAAATGTCGTTAGTGTAAGTATTGTTATGATTATCCTTGAATTAATCGCTGAATTCCTAAATCCTTCGGGTTCTTTTCACTGGATTGTTAAAAAAATTCTTTTATTATTAAAAATCTACGGTTACTATTTACTAACAAATTGCATTCAACACAACACCTTTATAGTCAGCAGAAGCTGCATATTTTCACTACTATGAGTACAATTAAGAAATGTGATTTCGAATGAACTATTTTTTTAACATTGAATAAGAAAAATACTTTGTTCCATAGTATTGCAATGATATGTATGCATAGGCGATATGCTACTTTTAATATATATTTGTGTATATATTTACGTAAATAAGTGAATAGATTGTTGAATAATTATTTGTTTTGTAATGTTAATTTTTTATCTATTTCTTTTTTGTTGTAAAAGTTTATCAAAAACATTTGCTCTTGAATGAATTTATATGCAGGTTGTTTTTAAGGAATCGGCATCGGTCGAAAATTGGGAATCTGTCGGACTCTAGGTGGAAACTTTAAACCTACGAATTCGTTATTAGCACAAAAAGCTTTAAAATTTGCCACACCAAATTTATTTGTATTTTTGTTAGCCTGTGTAATTTATAACTTTTTTCGTTTATAGGATTTAACCTATATATTTTTGTCTTTATGTAAGAAGTATATTGAGGATAAATTATAATCCCATTCGAACGAAATTATTTGACATTAAAACGGCAATTTTCAATCTTTGAAGGATTGTTTAAAGAATTCACATAAGATTACATGACCTCAGAGAATAAATACAATTTATTTAACATTGATACAGATTTTCTAATGAAGTTTTCTCGATTTAATTCTCTAAAACCACTTTCGTTAAAAATTGTTCGATGCATATTTGTTACTCGAGCAATAACTTATAGGCTTTATTGATTTCTGAATCCCGCAGAATAGTTTGTTTTCTTTTATTGAGGTTGAAAACCTCATTCAAAGCTCGGAAAAATTTCACAGAAATAGCATTCTCTTCAGAGTTAAGAAGTAAATTAAAACGGAAGAAATTCCCGTTAAAAGGAAATTTCAAAGCCTAAGTGGTGCACACTTTTAAACTGAAAACATACTGTTCATTAAAAATTTTCTAAAAAGAAATGCACATAAATTTAAGATTTTTTTTAAAGAGGCTTTAATCATTTTTTTTGCAGTGAGCGGCTTATTTAAAACAAAATAATGATAGCACTTATTTCAGACCTTTCTTTCATGAATCAGATCTGTGGTACGTTAAAACATTTACTTCCAGCGACTAAAAAATGTATCGACAGTAATAATTTGTTGACATAACTTCCATGGAACTTAGAAATTGTTTTTGAGGAGCCTGCTTAATGCATTTGCGTTCATAAGTATATGTACATATGTGAATAAGCTCTGTCACTGCCAATTTACAGCTGCAATGCTTGCATTTTCTTTGCATTTGTGCAACGTGATGCAATTTTCAATAGCAAATAATTTTAGAATTCCCTGACATGCGGGTATGGAACGTGAGTAAAAATTTAAGGCAAACAGAAGTATTTCTAAGCTACATATGCAATGTAAATGTTCACGCTTGCATGTGAACGTAAATATGTATGCATATGCACATCTACGTCAATACATACATATTTACGTAATGAGGTCTTCTTCACTTAAAGTAAGTACGTATGTGTTGTGATTTGTTTTCTTAAACTGAGTATGTATGTATGAGACTGCAGATATTCAATTAAATAAAGCAGGAATATTTTCTCTTAATTTCAAAATAATTGCGGCCTTTAAAGTTTAGTTTACTGAATTAAATTTTTTCGACCCGAGGATATTGCTCAAATTTGTAGCTGAATGAAGGACTAACAAAATTGATTGGCATAAGCTCAAAAATTTAGTCAGGCGTTATGTACTATTCATATTTCTTTAGCTAATGACCCGGTTCCTAGTCAGAATGGATTGCACCCCACATTGTTTAACAACTATGCCACAGCGATATGTCATCGGATCTAACTCAAGCAGTAGATACACACCTCTAATCATCCAGCCACAATAGTCGTTATTAACAAACTTTAACAAATCACTGACCCATTGTAAATTCTTGCAGAAATGGAAAAGATTTTGTACTATCCCAATTCACAAGCTCTGATACCACAAAAGCTTACCCGGATAACACAAAACTCTAAATATGAATAGCAATTTGTTTTATAAAAGTATTATACTTTATAAGTCACTCACTACGCGTAAATAATGATATCTTCTGTTTAAGAACCCTGGGAACATTCGAGGGAAGAACTCTAAAGAATATATTTTAATTTTGGTACGCACTACCTGCTCGCACTGGCAAGTTTTCTATTTCTTAATTTTTTCCTTCACACACCAATGAGTGGCCTCTGCTTTATGACATAAAATTAATCTAAGCTTTTTGTTACACTCATAAATAGTTTTGCGGGCAATCTTATATTTCTATAGCAAACTCTTTCACCCCACCGCATTCATCCCAAAAGTTTACCAATAAAAAAATTCTGCTTCAGGCAGTACACGCCGCATGCAATTGGGAATTTCCGTCTCATTTCTGATGCAACACCAATAGATTAAAAAAAAAAACACGAAAACTAAAAAAATATCACAACGCACATGCACTGCCAAGTACAAAACACATTCATGCATATATACATATGCACATGCTCTTGTATAGTAAGTGGTCTATAAGTTTGGACACAGGCGCAGAAGCAAGTAGTAAACCACTAACGGTAAGTAAAAGTAATAAACATTTTGTTGGTGGAAAAACATTTCTCAGTGGTACGTTCAGATTTCGATTTTCTGATTTTTGATTTCTGATTTCCGATTTCTTCTTCATTGGTTCGAAAAGTTTTCATTATGCGCCCAAGGGTATGCAAGAGATTTTTATGCATTACATGGGTATTTGCTGGTAACATGCTGCCCACATGGCGTATGAGTAACTAAAATTAGGGTGGCGGTGGCAAGTGTAAGGGATTTGAAAATGTGCTGCAGTAACAATTGAATGAATGGAAGCGCTGCCGAGTGGTCAGTATTATTGTAAACTTTGATTTAACTTACGTATCTAGGTAAGTTGTAGTTTGTTTTGCAGATACTTTTTGTGGTAAAGTTAGTTTACTTGTTAGAAAATTGTTCAAGTAAAATACAAATAACAGCTGCGCTCCAACTTTCAATTACTTTTGCGGCTATTTCGAAAATTTTTTTGGTTTTAACTCCACTATCTCGACAGTAACTGATAGGAAAATTTTCGTTTTCAGAAGCGCGAAAAAGCGTAAATTTAAAATTAAATCGAAAATTGTTTATGTTTTTGAAAATGGGAGTAATGATAAACTTGTAAAAACTATTTAATAAATACTATGTAGTATACAGCTTTTTATATTTACTGAAACTCTTTACAAATGCAAATAATTTTCTTTCATCTCTGTTCAATTTCAGATTGGTTCCCTTAAGGACTACTACGTTTTTCATCATCGTCATGTCGCCAAACGTTCATTGCATACGAGTGACGAGCACCATAGCGCCTTAAATTCCGAACCGCAGGTGAGTACTTATGAAAATTATATAGCAGTTGTTTTAATTGGCAACTAACAGCTTTAATCCTTAATCCTTAATCCTTAATCTTTATTAATATCCTAAACTCTAAAGTGAATTTGTTTATATTTTACGCTTAACTGCTCATTGGAATATCATAAAATTTTGCACACTGGTGTCATGAAGTCCAACTTAAAACATAGGATTTCTTTTATCTCTATTAGACAAGGGGGCGTGGCACCTCCCACACAAACAGAATTTTTCATACTGCATATCTCAGCCAGAATATATTTGTAGTAGAGCAGTGGACAGGTATATAAAATTGGTTCCATACACCTGAAAGAGAACTACCACCTGTTTTAAAAATCAAATTCAACAATAATTAATAAAAGAAGTTATTTATTTGAAATTTCGATTATAATTGAGGTGGCAGTCGAAAGATTACTTAAAAGATTGTAGTTTAAAAAACATTTGAAATGGGTTGCCACCGGATTGAAAAGTTAAATTTAATAAAATTATACACAATTTAAAGTCTCAAACGCAAGATTGTTTGGGCATCTTTAGTTTGAACATGTAGAGTTTCCGAGGTATTTGAAGAGGGTTGCCAACTGTTTTGAAACTAAATTAAAATAAAATTTTTAAATAATTTAAGTTAGTTATTACAATAGGGGTAATGTAGTAGGGTTGCAAGCTGTTTGAGAAATCAAAGTCAGCTTGAATTATGGGAGACAGGGTATTCATACATATGTTCATACACCCAGCGTAGCGGGTGATGCTAACCTTGTTTTTTTATAAATTTTTAAATTATACCGCTGCAACCATATTAAGTAGAAGCTACATTAAATAGGAAAGCAGCCAGAAAATTGTGATACCCATAAATTTTCTAATACTGCTGCCTAAATTCGAATAGCTTATATTTTCAAAAATTAATATCTACGAGATGGAGATGCGCACACAAAAGGCTTTTGGCTCAGCTGAGAGATGCAATAAGAGGAAAATAATATTCACTTACTTCTTTGTAAATAACAAAGAGGTTATTTAACCCGATATTGTTTTATTACTTTTTTTATTCCATACAATAATAAACAATTCTATCCCATCTTATTTTACTGCGCTTCCAATAGAGTACAAGGCTTGATTCTACCCAATCCAAATAAGGGGTGATCCATACAGTGGTTTGTTTTTAGAAATTCAAAAAATTACCAAAAATCTATTTATTTTTTTATGTTATTGGTTTATTCAAAAGAGCAGACATTTCCATTATTTATGGAAATCAATTTCATTCAAGTACTGGTCTCGACTGGCCTCGCAGTAGCACATCCTGTTAACCCGGTTTTCCAAGGTCTTCGTGATCCTTTCTGACTCTATCTCAAGAATTGCTCGCTCGATATTTGGAGTAAGGGCCTGAATCGTTAGGGGATTGTTCGCACAATATTAGCTTTTCACTTCGCCACCAATAAAAGGCTAACGACACCGGCTACGCCGTTGACCAAAATGACATTTCCAGCAGCATCAAAAAAAAAATAAAGAATCATGCCAACGCTCCAAAATCCGCACAAAACTTTAACTCTCTAAGGACGGATTGGCTTCTCGACGATCATGTGCGAGTTTTTCGATCCCCAGATGCGATGCGACAGTTTTGCTATTAAACTTAGCCACAATTATAAAAATGCGTCAGGAAAGATGACTTTTCGATTTGTCAATTAACGCACTATTTGGACTACAAAAAATTGACTATAAGTTGGCATTTTATTGTGCAAGTATAAAGCGATTAATTTAAGTTAAAGCCAGAGATAGAGGAAAAGCTAAAATTGAAAAATGGGATATATTATATTATTCTATGTTATGATATTTTATGATATTTTATGTTATATTGTGCTACGCCATACTATATTTTTGTCTTTCTTATTGATATTTTATGCCCAAACGTTGTTTACAGGTTAGTTTACATCTAATGCAGAGGTAACCACCCTAGACTATTTCGCGGCCATCGCCATAGAAATATAGTCAGCTCTCCTCAATGAAAATATACAGATAACAGTGACCTTTAGTTCCTTCCTAATCAACTTCAAGTTGACTTACAGTTAGATACATTTCGCGCAGGGTATGTACATACTCAGATGTGGACAATTAATACGTGCATACTAAACTTTGGTATGCAAATATTATTTTTAGATACGAAGATTTTCCAACGATAATGAAATATAAATTATTCACTTTTACCATGCATTATTTCCCTCAGTGTATATGTATATAATATTCAACAATTGCAATAATCTCCTTCCTTTCTTTAACACAGGTCCGATGGATGCAACAACAGCACGAAAAGTTACGAAAAAAGCGTGACGGTTCCTACACCACCCTACCCGGCTACAGTCCATATGATGTGATAAGGCCAGGTGGGGGTTTTGTTAGTGCATCAGGTCCCCGCCTTGCATATCAGCCTACAGCGTCAGCTCGTATCGGTTCACCTCTGCTGTCGCGCGCTCCACGCATTCAATATCGTGCCGCTACATCGCATAACATATTTCCCGATCCTCTATTCAAGGAACAGTGGTACTTGGTGAGTGATGTATGTAAGAAATTTTGTTCATTTCTTCTTTTCATATTTTTCATCGTTCTACCGGTGTCAGATAGTGGTGGTGAGGATTTGCACTTTTCTGGTTTTATTGGGCATTTGGTAAACTTAATTCAATGAATAATTGATTTTAGTGCTGCCTAATTTAATTAATGCAAATAATTTTCTTCTATTTTAGTTTACTTTGTTTTGCTTGATTAATTTGATATTTATTTGTTTTCAGTATATTTTCGGAATTTGCGTATTTCAAAAATTAACAGCAGCTGCATCTTTTTTAAGTAGTTTAATATATTTAAGTGTCCAGTTACGAAATAACATTTAATTTCGAAATTTTGAGATAATTAAAAATAAATAAATTAACGAAACTAAGTAAAAAAATTTAAGGTAAGAAATAATTTGCTTTTGTTATTTTGTGGCCTTGTAACACAATTATATTCAACAATTTTTATGAGCTTGGGTGGAAATAAGCAACAAGAATTAACAAGGCAAACTTAACACAGTGCGTAGGCAACTGGCTGAGTCAGTGGTGATCGTCGGTTTGAAGCCTACTGAAAGAAATCTGATGAGGAAATGTGGTGATTTCCGAAATAGCTATCACTTCTACCATTTTTTCAATTATTGTTGCTTTTCCACAATAAATTTTCATTAAAAAACGGCCTCGAACTCAATAAAAATTGTTGAATATAATTGTTATAAGGCCAAAAAATAACAAACACGAAAAAAAATCATAAAATATAGTGAGGCAAAAAAATTCTGAAAAGTAAATATTTTGAAACTTTTTTAAATTTTTTTATGTATGTAGGTTGCGAACTTTAAAACACTAAAAAAAATGGGTTTCATCTTAACGATAACGATAACTACAGTTTTCACATAAAATAAAATTAAAACTTAAAAGCTAAAATGGTTTACCATTATGGTGCATTTACATGGTATGAAGCCATATGAACTGTTGATACGCTAAAATAGAGGGACTACATGTTCTTATGAGGAATTCAATGATATCGAGCGGGATGCATATAATACATTTTTTCATATGAAAAGTTATGGGGAGATACTGCAAACATACTGTTGTGATACTGTTAAGCATATGAAATTATAGCAAGGTGGATTTTCATACATGTTCCCATAAAAAGTTTAACAGATGCAGAGATACCAAGGAGGTTTTTTTCATTTGCTCCTGAATTTTGGGTACATTTTCTTATAGTACCTCAGCAGCCAGTTCGAAAACGCCCTATCTCAGAAAAAATTTCAACAACGCCCTATCTCAGAAAACTTTTCAAGAATGCCCTACTTCAGAATTTGATTGAAAACGCCCTATCTTACCTGCCGATTCAAAAACGCCCTATCTCAGCTTATTTTCAATGTATTTTCGTTTGAGGTAGGGCGTTTTTGAACCGGATTATGAAATAGGGCGATATTCAACCAAATTCTGAAATAGAGCGTTTTTCAATAAAATTCTGAAGTAGGGCGTTTTTGAAAAGTTTTCTGAGATAGGGCGTTTTCGAACTGGCTGCCGAGATAGGTCGATCTTCCACTCAGCCATCGATATATACACTCCGCTGTTCGCTCTCGCTCCTCTATTGGTAATAGTAAATGAAAACAGCTTCTCATAAAACTACAATTGCCGTTCGGAGTCGGTGTAAAACTGCCCTTCCCCTCTGTGTGACAAAATTAAGGCGCACGCCCCATATGGGAGGAGAAGCTAGGCCAAACCCAAACATATTGTGTAAGCGCCAATCTGTATATCGTCGTTTAAAGTAAAAAATCGCGTATCGTGGTTCTGCAAAACCTCGTAACTGACATTTGTGCCAAAAAAAAGATATTTGCTCACCGGAAGCTCCTATCATCAAGCCCTTAATCATTTATACTAAAATTTCGATACTTAAAGCTCAAACAGTCAACGACGTAACGTAGACGTAGGTTGACGCAGAAACGATCTACCTTATGGGATTCGCGTGTTAACGAAAACTCACCACCGCATGGCGGTGACGTTGCCGTTGCTTCTCTCTCTCTCTATCAACAGTAAATTTGAAATGCTGCTACGTACGTCACCTACGTTTACGCTACGTCGTTGACTAACTGCGCTTTTAGACATAAGAGGAGATAATTAAGTTTAAAAGAGGGAACCGTTTTGAATTATGACAAATTTTACTCTCTCCTATAAAATTTAGGCAACCTCACATACAAGGTTTTGCATTTTCTTGATGCGCGGTTTTGTACTTTAAATGACGATATGTAAAATTATTGCATATATATTTTGGTGCCTTTTCAAGTATAAAATCCATTGAGAAACGAAAGAAAACGGCATCCCTATGATTTCAACTTATGCCAAACGTTTTTAATATGAAAGACAAAAAACGTAAACAAGCAATTCTGAACAAAAAACTGTTTTTCCATAAATATGTTTAAATGGAAGCATTACAAATATGGAAAAATAGCAATCCACAAGGCTTTATTGGCAGTAGGTCCTTTTTAAAGCACATTTAACAAAAAAATAAGCTTCTAGTTTCGAAGCTAGCACAAAATAAATTTTTTTGATTTGTTGTTTACAAAAAAAATATTGCCAAGTATATAAGTCAAAATTGTTAAATATATATCGCTTTCATTCATTTCTTCATAGAGTTGGTGCTTCTTTTATAGAAAAATTCATACGGCTTATGAACAGATTCATGCCATGTAAATGCACCATTATGCTCCTTGCGACTACTGTTTGAAATAAGCAATATTTTCATTTAACTTTGCATTTTTTGATATAACTAGAACTTGTTTCTTTTGTGTTTATCTAGAATCAGTTGAGTTAAATATGGTAAGAAATGGTAAGCTTAATTTTTGCCCAAGTGCGTATCAATTGATATTGCATTCAGCAGATGACAAATCTAGTAAGTACAATAAAACGTTTAGGTTTCTTAAAAAAAGCCTGCTCAAGTGTAGTGTAGGTACCTCTCTTGCGCTTACCGCGTCCGGTATTCCACTAAACAAATTTCGCTTTCTAAAATGCGCATTGATTTGCTCAGAATTTGGACGTTTCCCTATCAAATGCTCACTAGGTTCTGCCCTGGCGCGCACCTACGAGTTGGGCCGCAACCTACGCGCTGGTCCTAATTAAAAACTCGAATGTAGCTTTTCTCGCATTTCTACATAAAACGTTTATCCAGCGATCGGAGGAATATTTCAATCAGCTATTCACTTACGTTCAAACATCCTGTGCTGTGTCTTTTCAACTATACTTTTTTTAACTTATTCCATCTAGCCATCTCTTTATGTGATTTTGGACGGCTTAGGAGCAGTGTTAGTCTGCAAATTTAGCACGCATGTAAACTAAGAACGAAAGTCAAATGATTAGCAATAATACTCAATCGCATCTACAAAAAAAACGACATCATACCTTTTTTCCATTGCTCACGAAATCCCGGCTTGTACATTCAACAAATATAAGCCAACAAAACCTTTCGAAACTTTTCTTGCATTCATCAGAATTATTGGATTTTAGAATTGATAATGCCACTGAACAAGCAGCCAAAGCAAACTAACAACATTGCACTCAATAGACGCACAAAGCAATACAAACAACAACATAGCTACCGAGAATAGGAAATAAATCACAAGATTTAGTTGAAAGAATAAAAGTAAATAAGAGAAGAATAAATAAATAAATGAAAGAAAATGCAATTTCTCCAACAAGAAAGATGATACGCGTGGCTAAATTGTAGTTTTACACCCAGAAGGTAAACCAACTTGACAACGGCCGCAACATGAGCAAAACAACAAGCAAAAGAAAACACCTAACTAGGTGCTCAAGCGGTTAACAAAAAGTCACAAGCGGCCAACGAAGAAAGCCAACCAAAGACAGAAGGTAAGCTGGCGACCAATTCTGCCAGCAGCAGTTTCGCTGGCTTCGTGCAAGGACAACTGCTTTGTGCCGGGTATCTGCCGCATTATCCTTGCCGTCATGTGCTGGAAAAGTTTTAACATGCTAGAAAAGAGTAAAAAATAATGTGAGAAAGCGGAAAAATTTAGCAGAAACCAGCTCACGGTTGTGCGGTTACCCACAACAAATGGCCAGATACCCCGCCGGCACTTTGCTTTACTATGATTTATGTGCTTAAAAAGCAGCATTAATTCACAGAAATTTGTGAAGGGAAGTGACAACAAAACAAAATAAATGCAACGAAATGAATGCACAAAATTATTTACGGTTGTATCAAAACGAGAACGGCAGATTGTCTCGAGCAAATGGCAATGGCAACAAGGTAAATCCAGCGCGACTGTCACTTTTCATATTCGGACAAGTAAACGAACATCTTCAAGACGGCTAAAGAATGAATGCATAAATGATTGCTGCGTTGAGGCGCCATTGGCGATTCAAAATCAACGTTAAATGTTTCTACTTGCCGTGAAAGTTTTTAATATTTACGTTCACGAGTAAATGATGAAGCATTGAGTTGGAGCAGAGGTCTTATCATCCTCCTCCTTGGAAAAGAAAAATCACTTCGTCTGCCTCCCTTTAACGGAAATGCGAAAGAAATTGGGTTTGCATTGAGTGTAGCGCTTTAACCATTGTCATTCAAGCGGCGACTATGCTTTAGGATCTAGTTACCCGAAATCGGCTGTTCTTCTAGAAAACATAAATACTACCCCAAAGTATTTTTTTGTGTATCGCAATTTGAAGCTACGAGCAAGAAGCTTGGGGTCGTAAGACACTTAATTAAGCTTTTATACCTCATGGTATGTGGCGGGGTGAGTTAGTGCCGCCATCCAGCATAGATAAAGCAGGAGCACACCACACCGTGGTGTTACATCCCTCCTTCTTTGAATTGTGGTCGTAAGGGGTTTATAACAGGGGACTAGTGGCTTCCTGGTGGTCTCATATACAGAAGTCGTTGCACTTTTAGTCAAAGGTAAATTTCTGAACACCATACTTATATAATCCAAGCGGACTTAATTCTGGTGATTAGGCAATCTGCGAATAGTTGACCCGCGGCCAAACCTAGTAAGTTGAACTTAGCTAGTAAATATAAACAAAAGAGTATAACATGTTGATTTTACCTCAACTTCTTGGCGTCCGCTATGACACTTGACTTGGATTTGATTCGAGAAGGGAAGCTCTTCATGATAGCTAAGTAGTATTGAAGCGAGATCGTAGAAGACGCGCTCTCTAATGCTGCGAAGGGACCTTTTCCCTACAGTTATTTCCTGCCTTCATGACAACGTTTTGGAGCCCGTCATGTTTCATGGAGAATATTATGCTAATCGGAAAACTGCAGTGCGTACAACGGCACGCCCTTGTTGGAATAAGTGGAACACTTACAACCACCCCAAATCAAGCACGGATTTCTTAACAAGTGCCATTTGACATCGTAAATAAGACTTCATCAACAAGGGCTTTAGTGTTGCCTAGCTTACACAGGATTTGTACTTTTGGATATTCGCTTAGGTTTCGACATTAAGCCTGATCAATTTGAATCACTGCGTGACCAGACGGATGCCAATGGGGTATTTTTCTATCCCTTTTAGGGAAGTAGGCAACTGTAAACTTCCAAACAGATGAATCAAAGATTAGTGAAAGGATAAGTAGATCGGAGTTTTGCAGGGAGGTTATCATCAACCTCAAATGTTGGCGTACAGAACGCTGTCTGCAAGGGAAGTAAATATCTCCTCTGTTAGCAGCGTGACTTACAATGCACTCAAAGCTATCAGCGGTTACTTTACATCTCTGTCAATTTCGTCAGATGATGTCCTGTTCAGACTAATGAGTATGGCTATAAGTCAAAATGGATATTGCCGGAGGAATTCAGGGCACCTTTGATTGGATCCTTGTGTGTGCTCAACGAAGGCTGGGTGAATGTCAGGGACGGTCTCGGGAGCTCAGAGACGCAAATCTTAATTTTGATGGGATGTATCCACAGGACACTGTCCATTTGGTATTATGAATATAACGGCATGTCTTGCTGCTCCAGGTGCTTAGAGTTCGATAAATTAAATATGTAGTTAAGCAGCTACCATCCGCAGTGATACCACAAGCGACTGCTACTAGTGGTTAAAGTGCGCCCCTGTTTGGGGCAACGCCCTTAACACGAGCTGACCTAAGATAGACATACATATGTACAATAGACTGACCCAAAAAACCAAATTAGTTTTTTTCTTACGCATACCCGCTCATTTTATTGGCTTTGTCTTAGAAACTCCCCGAATAAAATTGTATGCAATTCCGAATAAGCTTTGTGCAGTTCGCGTGTTTTATTAATTTACTCATTTTACTTCAGTGGGAGCCTGTATTACTGTACTCCCTGCAGTACTAAGACATAATATTTATTTAATCTTTGTTTTTGGTTTTTTACTAGGTAGTCAGAATTTTTGCTAAAGGACCATAAGTTATAATATATTTCCAAAAGCTTGTACAAAATATAGATATATGGGTATCAATTAAAGAATACTTCGAAACAAAATTAGTTATGACTATTGTTTTCAATTATCCTTTAGGAACATGTCAAATATGTCCTTTAAAAATGTTATCCTTCAAGATTTTTAATTTTGATTGCATTTTGAAGAATCTTAGTTAAATTTAAATCCTAAAAAAATATATCAAGATATTAAGGATAAAAACTTCAAAGGATATTTTTCAAAAAATTACAATCCTGCCATAAAATGCGTTCAAATATGGGAAACATATCGATTTTTTTGGATTTCCATAGTACTCATAGACGGTTTGGTAGCCTTTATTCAACTTATTAACTAAATCTTCAACTAAAAGCCGGCGCGGGTTATCGTTATTCTACAGCCGTAAAACTTCATATACATATATGTTAGTTAGGCTAAAAAGCACAAATATAGATTTATAATTTAAATTATAAATTTGCAAAAAAATTTTGTTTTTCATATATTGTTGGGATAGTCTAGTGTATGTATAACATACATACATGCCTATAAGCTATTGAACTCATAATTTACATGCAGATTTATCGAGGCATTCATAAATTGATTCCAAAGCGAGGGCCACGTTTTCATCAATGAATTATGTTTCAGAACTGAGCAATTTCAAGCTGCTATGCTTGTTGAAAATAAGGAATATTTTTCCTTACAAAAGTTAGATTAGCGCTAAATTCAAGCTTTGAAAGTGGCTGCCACCGCACAGAGTACGCAGGCAAACAACATACGGTGAAAAAACCTTCCCTTAGTAGTTGAACCAACGAGCGGATTTTATATATCACAGAAAATTTAGAATTTTCGCCGAGTTTAGGTCAGTTAAACAATCTTAAACGTACTTATGGAAAAAGTGGCGCGGGACAGTGGCAGAGATAATGTTCGGTACTCCTCACCTCTTCCTCCACTCTGCAGCCGCAGTAAAGTCGGTGGTTCGATAACCCAGTATTTTACCGTGCGCTCCGCTCCGGCACTGTCCGGGATTAATTCGACTACTACCCTGAGGAAAGGGCTGTCAAACCGAGGGATATCCACGGAACGCTTTACATAAATTTTTGGCCAGATTTGGCGGGTTGTATACACACAGTTGCATAATTTTAAGACTTCCATATATTAACAAGTTTTGACTATTTATTTTCATATTTTTTTAATTTCAACTACGCCTTTTTTAAAGAATTTTGGAAAAATTTTGTGTATGCGGTTTTATAGCCCATGCAAAAATCGAAAATTCGCTCATTTTTTCTAATTTTCGCGCTAAGTTTGAAATGTAGATTTATATGGTGTTTGTTATAGAATTAACTACTTCTTAATAAGAAAATAATTGAAATTAAATAGTATAAAAATAAATAGTCAAAACTTGTTAATATGTAGCGGTCTTAAAGTAATGCAACTGAGTGTAGCAGGTACTGAGTTTTCACATTCCACCTGGCATTTACCTGCTCGACGAGATCAGGGGGTCTACTCTGAATTGCGATTCGAAAAGCACATCATTCGAATATTTGGCACTATATATTCGTATTAGTCCTTTTAAGTTTCGAATCACAATACAAAGTAGACCTCCAGCCTTTAACCTTAGTTTTCAAGAGGCTCGAGTTAGGCCCGCATCTTGGGTAGAATTGACTTCGCATTCTCCGTCCCTCTTTTTGCCAGCACGTCCGCTATGTAGTTGCCAGGAATGTCACTGTGTCCGAGGCGCTATACTCAAGGATCATTTTGAATGGAAACATTTTGAACTACACAAATACTATTATATACTAATTTAGATAAATTACACATTAATTTTACAGTGCAAAATGACCTTTCAGTCTTATGGGATTTGTAAATATAAAATACTGATGTATTTATTTTTTTATACATAAGTAGAATTGGTTCTGGTATTTATTCTCAATGTAAATATGTAAATATTTGTATCCTAGTTGTAGAAACAAGGTATTTTATTTTCGCGAAAGTAATTGCATTGGCTTCAAACATTAATAATAAGAGTAATAATACAAATTATATATTTTCTCATAAATACAAATATATTTCTGCAGAATTCATCTACTTTTGCTTTTCCTTCTTTTACATATCGCATTCTTGCCTTTACATATGATGCGTAAACAAACATACATCAACGAAAACTTCAAACAAAATAAATATCATCAACATTAACCAAAACAACAAATCCCCACGCCCAATAGAATGGTGGCGCCAAAGATGGCCTCGATATGAATATCGGTCCCGCCTGGCAGAAAGGTTACACCGGCAAAGGCGTTGTCGTTTCTATACTCGACGATGGCATACAAACGAATCATCCTGACCTTGCTCAAAACTACGTAAGTACACAAAGTCTATAAATGCGTATATATATATAATTTTATGTAATAAATAGGTACGAAATTTTACAAGCAATAATACAAAAGATGCAAGCAAATCCGGCGGGTTAAGGTTAAACTTAAGAGCTTTGTTGGAAATCTACAAGGCAAAGTAGAAAACTTTTCCGTTGTACATAATTGTAATTGAAGACAATAATTGAAAAAGTCGGACAACTACAAAAGTTTTATTTGGAATCTAAATCAAAAACAGATTTACCTAAAATTTTAGCGGAGACCGTTTGTCTATCCGTTATTGCAAAGTGTTTCAGGGCGTATGATTAACTTTTGCAATTAAATGCCTTTTAAAACTTCTCTTGCACGCTTGTGTTCACTTTGATATGGACTTTCAAAGTGTCGATACCTCTTTTATACTCGAGTGTTGTCTAGCGTGGTGTTTAAAGGCGGTACTCCTGCCTGCGAATAAACTGCGCTCCTGTTGCATATTCGGCAACAACCTCACTTAGCATTAAATGCCTAGTTATTTGTCTAGGACGATAAATGCTTTTTCACTTTACTCTCACTGCTAACTTGTATTTACCACTCTTTTCCTATCGTTTGTCCACTTCCGCTAGTTATTTTTAGCTGAATTCTTCTTATACTCGCAATTTCAAATTTACATTTAAATGGCCAAAGTTTCATTGGTTTAATGTAGCGGTCGGTCTATTATAAAAGTAAATATTTGTGATATTTTCTGGATTGTAAACCTATTTGTTTCGTGTAGCACAGAATGTTAAGAAAGAGACGAAAGTTTATAATTTCAGTATCTGGTCGGCTTCATGTGTTTTTTTTTTTGAAGGTTTGAATAATGGTTTGGTTTGGCAGTGCTCGAGCAACTGATACTCTAAGGCCCACTTGGAGAGCAGCAGGCTATCTGTATAACTAATTTTTTACCGATTAAAGTCATGCACTAGCTCAGAGCCTAAAACATAAATAATTGCCCCAGCAATTTTCGAAGATTAACTTGCTAACTCTATGCAATAAATGCAAAATGTATGCAATAGAGATGGGCGGTGGATATCGGGACCCGCACGACCCACGGTACTGATTTCGAAATTTAGCATTGCACTCCCTTTCCAAGCTCTTGACGACATCTTTTTATAGCCAGCCGACTTCGTTTCAAAGACATCCAAGCTGGCAGTATTTACGGTCAGAACAAAATATAAGGTTGGGCATGGCAATAAGTACACAGACAAGATGACGCTTGTCGTATTGGGGGTGGATACCATCGAAACCACGAAGGCGGGAAAGAGCAGCCGCGCTTGGTTTTGTGTGGAATCGTACCTCGCCGAGCTTTAGAGATGATGGGTGACGGAGCACGAAAGTGGCATGGACCACGAGCAGGATTCAATTTGCAGCATTTATGCAAGTAAGCCAAGTACTGGACTTTGTTCTTATGGAAGTGCCCGGAGAGATTCAACTCTTCGAAACTCACAACAGCTACTTTACTACTTTGCTGCAGGTATATGGAAATAACGCAGGCCAAGCGGCCAACCGGATGGCCACGACCACCAATAGATAACAACGGCCATATTCCACAAACCAGTCTTGTTATGGGAACAGCTTTCTCGCTTTATTTTCTGACATTCGGCCGCCTTGTAGTAAAATTTTATAGGCAAAATTTCAAATAAGGCAGTGTCAAAATCTTTTTTCTCACTCTAATTACTTCACCTGGTATAATTCAACCATGGTGGTGCCTACTTAATTAAGTACGCCCTGGGCTACTTAGGTCTGTGCTAGTTTTCAATGCTGCAAGCGTAGTTTAGGAAATGGTTTAGTTTAGGGAATAGGAGGGTCTCTGGGATACTGAAAAGAAATGAGTAAAAGAGTAGAAATAGCACAGTTTTCTCAGATGTACAAGTAGTTCTTCTGGCACTAGCATTTTTAATAATAAATTGTAATACAGTTAGAATTCGCAAGTTTACGTTGAATTTTAACAACGCTTCAATGGGAATCTCACTCGCCTCAGTACCCGATCATATGAAAATAAACGGTAAGAGTAAAGAATCTATCCTAAGCAAAGACAAAAATTGTCAATTCGCAGTAAATAAACTTTACTTTCTATTTGTCCGAATGTCTGAAATACGATACAGACACTACGAAAATGCTTTATACTCCTCTTTTTGAGATGGGTGGAAATAAGTGCGATCTCGCTTTGATGCGGCTTGTTGCCTGGCGATACTTTACCGGGGGGAGAAAACGTCGCATGGCCCAATGTGTTTCTTGTCTTGGCCTGTTCAGCGCATTTCTTGGATGGCATGGATGCAAGTCTAGTCTTCCTGAGGTTATCAACCAGCCGAGCAGAGGCACCATTCCCATTAAGAGTAATGATATTCCAGGTGCCTGCTCTCAAATCGTAGTTGTTTGACTTGCTGTGGATGTAATAAAAAGTAGGGCGCCTCATTCAAGGCTTTTTTGTCTCTTTCATTTAAGGCTTTTTTACGTGGCGGTCACAATCCTGGAGCATGACCGCATTCTGGGTTCGATTGATTATTTAGTAAAATATATGTAAATACCTAAATTCTTTTGCACGTAGGATAATGTAGCACACTGAGAAAAAAATGAAGCATGACCTCTGGTTTAAAGAAGCTAAATCACACGTTGGTTGCGTTAAACGACTTTACGGAGATTTATTTTCGCATATTTTTTTGTATGAATACGATTTCATTCTGTATATCACAGGTGTTTATTGTTAACTAGCAACTACCTGTCTTGCTTTGTAACGCCCAAAAAGAACTTTTGCGTTGACCAATACAAAAATAGTGTTGAAATGCAAAAACGGTTTGTAATATAAACACTATTAGCTTAGGTTGAAAGGACTGAAGAGCAAAACTTTCCTTACTCATAGGCTAAGAATAATAGCGGGGAGATAACATATGGTTTATGTACTAATGTTATTTCCATCTGTGAGATATCTGCAAGTATTGCAAGGTTCAAATCAACGGGAAGAAAGAGTTTTCCCGCTCAAACGGGGTCATAGATGTTCCTACCGTTCTTCTTTCTAATTCGTCACACTTCTTCTTGATATACCGATGACCCGTTGATGTGTCTAGGACATTTGTGGCGCCTTAACGATTTCGCAATTCTTTGCATTCATACTTAAAGGATGGGGCTTTATTAAGTCATCTGCAACGTAAACTTGTAGAGGGGTATCCAAATATCTTGATTCCAGCGCCGTCTATGTTTTGGGTCCGTTTTTTTTTGCAGAAGCACTTCTTATAAAAATGTTAATACCCGTTAATCCAGGTTATACCATAAAGGTGGATCTCTAAGTATCTCGACTACAGCGCCATCTATCGGCACAATTTTTTGAAAAAGTATATTTTATGATGCAGAGTATCCTTTGCCGCATCAATTATAATTCATGCTGCAATTTTATGGGTCATTGTTTTATTTACTACCAATCTTCTTTCATTATTAAGGTTAGGTGGATTAAGATACCTTAAGAGGAATGAAATGCGCTTTCATTTTTAAATTGATATTCTCTGAACGTAGACGGCATTCGTGGTGTGAGGTGCTACGATGCTACGACTTCTTGCAAACTCTCTTCCGTGTTTATTTTACAACAGGACATTCCGTTCAGCTGTCTGTTTGTAATGGGTCCAACGTAATGGTTCTCTGAACGTACTACATCTATTGGCGGTACCACGTCCCTGACAAACACTCACTCTCTTTCAGTTTACTATAAACGCCACGCCCTCTTGTACAAATTCAATTGTATACATTTACCATGGATCACCAAATTTAAAATGACCATAATTGAGAAAAATTACAAATAACTTTTCGTTCAGAATTTTCATCATGAAAATGGGAAAATTTTGGAAAACGCTTAGTACCATCGGATAGCCTATAGAAAAATCCATATTGCCTCATATGTATATGTACAGTGACGGGCAAAACTGTAACATGGTGTAACACTTTTTACTTCAGCCATCGCTATCTTTCCAAGTTCTAACGACTTCCATACTTTTGTTGTATATTCTTGTTGGTACATCCCTACTCCCTCTCTCATAATAATTTGAAGCCAATACAACAACAATAAAAAAACCAGCAGACAAAAATGTAAATTAAGGCAGATGTTACAGTTTTGCACTCATATATTTTTAAGAACTTTTTAACAATTTTCACGAAAAAAAGAACTACTAACACAATGTTCAGTACTCTTTTGCTTGTTTCAGTTCCTGGATGCGATTTGGCATACCTTATTTGTATATTTGTAAAAATGCTGGAGGTATATCCTTAGTTTGCTTTCACAGCTCATGTACTCGATTTTACGGACTTTGAAACTTTTAAGCTGTGCTTTTAGTTGATTTCGCAAATTCTCGATGAGATCATGTCCGCGGATTGTGGAGGTCATTTCAAATTAGCAAATTTTTTATTTTGTATCCCGTCTTTGCGAACATATGCAGTATGTTTTGGGTGATTTTTCAGCAGAAACTCTCATTTTTTCGACTACATCTCGCAAATTTTGTTGAAATATGAACAGATACTGTTCCTTACGCATAATGCGTACTAACGGAGCAACAAAATTTTTGAAATACAACCCCAAACTATTATTGACCGACCACTGGTATTCACAGTTTGCCTTACATGCTGCGCATGGGCTTAATTTGGGTCTTTGATCCAATACCATGCCCGGCCATCTGATTGAAAGCGATTTATTTAGTCTCGTCAGACCATATAACCTTTAATTGAAACTTAAAAATATGTTTTTATTGCATTCTGAATGGCCTATCATATCCCAACAGGCAACGGTTCGGTTTTCGTGCGATGCAGGGAAATGCTACCACACTCGCACATGTATTTTGTTCAAATTTGCTTTTTTCTTCTTTATGATGCCTTTGCGCTCAATTTGGGAATTCTTCCCCTCGCTGTCTACTCATTTGCATTAAAGTTTAATACCTTAAGCGCTTCTGTAATAGTGACTGCATCGCTACTTGCTGCTAAGTTCACAAGATATCGTA